GTAACCTGAACATCCTAAATTGCTATTTATGGTGAACATTTTTACTTCAAAAATAATGGTAGAACAGAACATAACTTTTTCAGATACAAAATTTATTCATTAAAAATCTCTTTAGATGTTAAAATAATTATCAAATTGAAAGATTTTCTTTTCTAAAGGTAGCGGGGCATATCTAATTGAAATAATTATCTCCATTGGCTTTGTCTTCTAAATCATGGAATGAATACCTCTTTAGAGGGGTTGATTTGTTTTGATTGCAATTTACAGCTGTGATTTGGAGGGCAATTATCTCTTTCCAACAAGAGAGAACTCAATTAATGGCACACGCAATCTTTTTTCTTTATTATTGACCAACAACAAAGATTGAAATATAATAAATGTGTGTTTCATGACTGAAAAGTTGGCCTAAGAAGGGTGGTACAAAATTTTGATAAACATAAAATAAAAACTTCAATTTTACATAATGATTAGAAAGAAACTAGATTACTATTATGAAGTCCATCATTTATTTGCTCGTAAACATTAACTTAAGATTTTGTATAATTGAAGGATTGAGAATATGTTTTACAGAAAAATAAAAGACAGTAAAATGGGGAGGTAGTGGTGACAATACATCATGAATGTGTATTATATAAAGTAATTGAATGTAATTGAAAAAAATAATTGAAATTACATGGTATTTTTTCAGTGTTATTAATTAAATTACAAGTAATTGAAAAAATGTTCAATTACAAATGACTTCCAATTACTTCAAAAAATGTAATTCATTACGGTCAATTACAATTACTTTTTTCAATTACCCCATCCCTGGTTGGCTCTGTACCTTTTATCAGTTGACAAGATAACAAAATCCTTTTTAAATACACACAAATTTTTTGTAACAAATTGTCAACGTATATGAAACGAACAGGTAACTTCCTGGCCAGCAGCTGGCGCGGTTGATCAAAGGGATAATACATTCGTCAGGAATAAGGTATGGAATAAATATAGAAAAATAGACATAGGTTATAGGGAAATATTCTTCAGTTGGTTTCTGGTAAAGGTGCAAGTGTTTGTGCCTTATATTTAATACAAGGGAAATGATCGGACTGGAGAAGGTGCGGAGTCCAATATATACACCTTTATACATCTTCACCTTCGCTGGGTCGTGCAGTAATTACTGTTGTGACATACATATACTGGTGGATTTAGAAACTTTACCTTCTAATCAGAGATCGGCTTAGTAAAGAGGTAGCACGCGATAGACTCAATCCAAAGTATGGAGGGAAAAAGGACACACACATGGTTCCTTTCTTAAAAATAAAGACAAAATAAAATCAAAAATCTATATAAGAAGCAAAGGTAAGCGTATTTATATGCTGTCGCGTTTTTATTAACATGGCTGGTTGCAAACGGTGATGATCTCCAGATTGAATGTAAACAAACTACACCCGGTGTTTGCATCTTCCAACACGTGGTAATAAAGTTGTTGTATTGCAACATTCGGTAAATCATATTCTAAATGGAATAGCAAGTAGCTAGATATCACGACAGTTTTACATGTCGTAACGATTATCTTATGATAATATGGTAAAATGGATCTATGTTAGGTTTAATACGAAATTTCTCTTGTATTAGGTACAGATCCACATATATATTTCATAACAATATTTTCTTTCAAAGAATAATGCATGTTTATGATATAATTATTTTGAAATTTTTAGCATCAACAGATAGGTATATGTAAATGTAAGTTTCTTTTTCTCAACTCTTTACATTTCTCATATACGGATTAATTTGTGATTTTTAAATTTGATTTTTTTACTAACTCCTTAAGATGTTCCAAAACACACCTACCTAAAACACAGAATGTATTTTATACATAAGTTTTTCAAAACAGTAAGCTTCTTCAAAACTTTTGAAGCTTATTTCGATTTATTTATTAATTTGTATATATTCTGCTTCTTGCGGTACATTTATATCATTGGAAAGTTATGTTATATTTTCTGGTATGAAGTTTAGATTAATTGTCTCTTATGCAATATAAATCGCATAAGCCTAAATAAAATTTAGTATTTTGAGAAAAAGATCTATGAAAGGTTCATATTCAACTTTACATTTATCTCTTTACAGTATTTTTTTCTTGACATGATACAGGCACATATAATTATGCAACAGCACAAACAGAAATAACTTTATAAGTGTAATAAAACACAAATAACTGATGTAAAAACACAATTTCAAATAAGTATGCAACAACACAAACACGGAGTATTATGTAACAACACAAACACAAATGATTTTGTAACAGCACAAGCATTATTGAATAGAGGCGTTCTTTCTGTAAACACTGATTCTGAACAAACGCATTATTTTTGTTGTACAGGGATATATATTTTAAAGAAAGTCACTCTGTCACTTAAATGTAGTACTTCCTTCATTCCTTCTTTGCATCTTTTTTTGAAAGACAATGATGTTTTATTTGCCTCATGAAACTTCTCCTCTATTTTCTTCTACGTTTTCTTCAACATTTACTTCAATAATGTCAGCGTAAACGCTTTCAATGTTACGGTTATTTTTCAATGATTCCTTAGGCATACAAATACGTCGATTTATTTGTATCTCATAGATTATATAGAAAATGATCAGACATATTAAAATTGTTCCAACTGAAATGATGGTTGTTGACTTTGAATGGTACACATTTATTAGATGTGAAGTAGTTGAATAAAAGTCGGTGTTGGTATACATATCTGCTGTAAATGTAATACATATTGTTTACAAGTGCCAAAAAGAGCTAAAACGGAACAAACATAATGAAGAGCACAGATATTTGTTTCTTTAATATTTTTTACCACATAATATAATAAAAACACAAGGTATATAACTCCGATTAACATAGAGTACACCCCCTCCCCCATAAAAATAGTTTGAAACGATTGATTGATTGTATGTTGTTTAACCTCCCATTCGACAATTTTTCACTCATATAGAGTTTTGACCTTTACTCGGCACTCAGGGCCATTGAGCAGTGAGGGTTCTTTATCGTCCCAACGCCTGTCGTGACACGGGGCCTCGCGTTTTAAGGTCTCATCCGAAGTACCCGCAACTTTCACTTCAAAGTGCCGAGCGCATGGCGAAGGAACAGTTGCTACCCATTTTTTATCGACTTAGGTCAGTCGAGGCCGAGATTCGAACTCACGACCTCCCGATCACGGAGCGAGCACTCTACCGACTAAGCTACCGTGAACGGTTAGTTTGAAACGAGTTTTATAGAAAGAAAGTAGAGTTTGGAAGTTGTTAACAGTGATATAGAAGAGGAAGTCAAATATGCCATATGTGGTTTTTGCAGATAAATTATTGTACAAGAGAATGGTAACAAGCATTTTGCCAATGTATTTTTTCTTTGAGAGTGGGAAATGGTTATTCCCTGTAATTTGGAATTAGATACCTTGTTTTACATGTATTATTTTGTGGGGTAAAATAATCATTATAGAAACGAACACCCGTGGTGAACAGACATTATTATATTACCGTCATTTTTTTTTGAAACATGGACATTTTATTCAGACATTGATGATTTTGATAATTGTGGCTCTTAATGTTGTAACATGAAGCAGTCACCCATCCAAGGGCTTTACAGGTCTAACCGTAGCTTAACTTGCTTGAAACTAAGGGAGATGCTACCGAATTAATAGAAAACTTATCTTACTATCGAGGCAGTATAAGTTCCATATACTCGTATATTGTCCATTACAATGTAATATCTGAACAATCTTCTGAATGTGAAAAAATATCATGCTTAAACGTTATCAACATTTCTAACCCCCTCCCTCCAAAGAAAAATAAATGAATTTTATCATTTGTAAAAAGAAAATCTAAATTAAAGATTTATTTTCAAAGATTCAGCATAGATAAAACTAACATTTACCTCCTGAAGCGTAGATCAATTTATGAGAAAAAAAATAGTTCCTGTTTTACATAAATTATATTTTCACTAAGTGGATTAAAAATTTAGGAAAACAGGATAAACTTATATTGCAAAATATTTTTGTAATAATTCCTCATGTTGCGTACTTGAAATTCTTACATCACAAAGTATCTAATACATAATATCATATAACAGAGTGCATGTATGTTTCTCATTTCTTTAAAAATATATTCTAGCATGGTTTTTGATGCTGTAAAATTTACTTAGTACTTCTTATCATTTCTAATGTATGATAGATAGGTTGTATTGATTCATTCCAGAAAGAAGTTATCATTTTGTCAAACCGTTTTTATGGAAAAGAAAGTGACCAAACTACACCCATTTAGCGAAATTTTTATTCATTCCGTTTAAAATAAGAACAAAATTAATTTGGTATAATACAAAATGAACTTCAGATAAATCAAAGCAGTCAACTCTCGTCTGGAGACAAGTACATTCATTTACATTGGACTTCTGTTTTTAAATATAGATTCATTCTTTGTAGTCAAAACCACAACTGTGCGACAGATTATCAATATATAGATAAGCTTAACTTTAGCTATAAATATTACAATCATATAACATCAACTTAAAAAAGATGAATGGTTAAAAAAATGTACAACACCTGTTGTGACACGACATCCAGTAACATGACTGCAAGAAGAATTGGAACAATGACAAACACCAGCACATTTTGATCCATATGATGGATAGGGACATAGAGCAGAACAGTCTGAGTCAAAATATCCAGGAGGACATGCTTAAAAAAGAAAGGAAAAAGGATTTTTTTTTATTAATTAGCAAAGATTTCAGTAAAGCTAATACATACCTCATAATTACCGTCAAAAAATAGTCACATGTACATATGCTTAAACATTTTTTTTAAAATCATACACCAACCAAAGTAAAATGAACATAAGATTTATGGATATAAAGAAACAATTTTGACTACACTACTAGATTGCATAATCTGATATTTCAATAGATTTTACTTCTTTTGTGAAGGTTTTGAAAATATAAATAGCATAGAATACGCAAATTGTCTTCATACCTTGGCAAGTGTTATTTACTTTGTAATAATTATAACAACACGTTTGGTTAATATCCTCCAGGACTCTGTAATAAACAATGAATTAAATGTCCAATACTTTGATTGATTAATCAATTTGAACAACTAATAAGCTCACAAGTTATCAAAGTTTCTTACCCAGCGGAACAGCCACTTCTTCCTGAAAATAAAATTATATTATTATGTTAAAACACATGTCTTTGCTGTAAATTTACTTTTTAATTGATTTGATTTGACTGTGAGTCCATTTATTTGTCGGAATCTTACATCTTTACTAAACTTGAATTAATGCTTCAAACTGCTCTTTTCGATTTGCATATACTTTTATGCACAATACTATAATTATATACAGTGTAGTTCTTTTTTGTCTTGCACAAACCATTGAATTATACTTTTTAAGTACATCACATGCATGTACACTTTGAAAATGCAATTCTTTTATGTCTACCTTCTAGACATCCATTCTTGGGGTCACACTCTGTAGGAGAACAGTTACATTTTCCACCACATAAAGTACCATATGTTGGTGGTGGACACCGTTTAGAACAATTCAGTCCGTAATTCCCTGGTGAGCATACTGCAATACATGTAATAAGATAGAAAATTATAATTTTAGAAAATTCCTTATAAATCCTCTGTAAATCTTTACTCCCGATTTTCTGAAGCATCAATATCATGCAATATCTTTTGAATTCTAAATTAAGTTGTAATTACCTACACATCTATCCCCAACCTTCTTAAAATCTGGGACACACTTCTCTGAACTAAATAGAAATGTTTTGATAAAGAAATCTAAAATCTTTGTCTAGGCAAAGAAAAATCTTTGCCCAGGCAAAGAAAAAAAAGATTTGAATTATATATTAATCGAAGGTTTTCTCAGAACACAAACAATATAACATGTATCAATTACTTACGTACAACTGTTGGACAATATATCTAACAAAATATAAACAATTGTCACAGAATTATAGAAATAGTGATATGGCATCATTTCTGTCCAAATCCCTCGCAGAAAACAATGTATGAAGAGGAAGTGAAATGTATCAGATTGAAAGCAATCAAACAAAGAAATCTATGCTTTAAATCACTTCATTTCATTAGGTCTAGGACAGCTGCAGACTGTTTCATGATAAATTATATCTTGTCTATTGCCGTCACAATCAATTGATAATATTTTTTTTCATTTATTTAAGAATCCTTTATGTTAAGAAGAGCTTGCTTTCAAAAACAAAAGTACTGTAGTAAGTTTTTAGTTAACTATACTTTATTGATAACTATGACACAATAGAAACAACATATAAAATTAAATATATTAATAATAAATATACTTTGATTTTCTATAGTTATAACTTTGAAACTGAAAATGTACTCTATAGAGTTGTATATAAGAAGATAATCCTACAAATCAAGTACCTTATGGTATTTGCACACTTTCATTAGATTTAAAATTAATCATATCACATTTTCGTTACTTTTAATTGCTCTTTAATTTTGAAATGGGAAATATTTATCAATTTGGAGAAATCTACAAAATTGGATAATGTTTTAGTATGAGAATTAAATGAGACTTCTAACACAAAAAATATTTACTATAGTCATAACTTTGACACTTCTACTAACTATATTGATCACTTAAAAAACTTCGTTTTATTATTCTTATAACTTTGACTTATACACTTAAGTGATAACTTTGATACTTGGATTTTTTTATAGTGATCACTACAACACTAATGTGATGTTTGAAAGTTTGATTACTTAACTGAAAACTTTAAAACTTTGTTTATTTTAATTTACTATAGTTACAATTGTTAAATGATGTAAACTATTGTAAGCTTTAAGTAATTGTAGTAAACTGTAGTTAACTATCCTTCACTATACGAAACAATATTTAAGGTAGGTCGCAGCTTTACTGCATAAAAAAATCTTACAATCTATCTAATGATCTATCAAGGTTGACCAAGCACACTTGCAGCATATCCAGACAGTTTACAACACCTGTCGCAAGCGCATCTTCAACATCCAATGACCTGAGAGGATCACAGATGAAGAACTTTGGAAGAGAGCAGGACAGAAAGGAATGGACGTACAAATTAGACCTAAGAAATGGAGCTGGATTGGACACACGCTAAGGAAGTCACCATCCAGCATCACAAGCTAGAACCTGACTTGGAACCCACAGGGCAAAAGAAAGAGGGGAGGTCCAAGAAAAATACCTGGAGGCGTAATTCGGAGTCAAAACTAAAGGCACAGGACATGGCCTGGCAGGATGCAGTGAAAGCAACCCAGAGTCGAATTCGTGGAGTTCGTTGGAGGACTGTCGTCGATGGCCTATGTATCTCACGACAGGCCTAAGTAAGTAAGTAATGATTTATCAATGGGTCGGAAAAGTATACAATACACAGTGCTCAAAGCAGGAATGACCGATGAACACGGGATGCTTTCTCCTCCTAGGCACCTGATCCACTTCTGGAATTTCTAGAGGTCCAGGTTTTATATCCTTTTCCCAGATTTGTATTGTTTGCATGTTTTTAAAAAGACGATCAATGTTCGTTATCGTTACTTTTTTTATAATCAATTTTATTCACAATGTCAAACTCCGTTATGTTTTCAATTTAGGTATACTCAGTATCAATGATCAGATAAAACTATAGCATCGGCATATAAAGAGGAACTGGCAAACTAATTTAATCCTTTCAATTCTCATACTTCTGAAATGTATTTCATATCTGCTGATTATGTTTGTAAAGCTAATAAAATAAAAATGATTTACATATTAGGAGATATTTACACTTTAATGTGTAAAATGAACATGCAAATAGAGAGACATTTTTTTCCGAACAATGGGTAGCACAGTTATTATTTTAAAAGCAGGACATGTCTGTTAAACGATATTCAATATTTTCATTGGAAGCTTAATGTATGTTAATAGGACAATTTTGTTCTGCTTTTTTTTTGGTATGAATAAAAAGGTACACGTAATTGTAAGTTTTATGTTTTCAACTTTTTACTTTACTGTATACTTATTGGATATCACGCAATCCTTCTGTAAAAAGAAAAAAAAGCCACTTTATCACAGGTTTGAACATAATTTATAATTTATATATCAATAGTATAAACAGTTTATTTTAGGAACTCAGTTCAACAATTTTTAAAAGACAAATGATACAGAAATAAAAAGAATCTATGCAACTCAAAATGTATTAATATATTTTCATGACAGGTTATTTCAATTGTATTTACATTGTAAATATCTGTAAAATACTAGGCATGATTGTATTCAAGTATATAACTGAATCAAGTTGAAGTTGATTATCTATTTGCCTTATTTACGATTTGGCACAAATCATTTTCTTCTCATGATTATTAGAAAGAATTGTATTTAGATTAAACAATAATTAATTGAGGCCAATAGGAATTCTACTTTTATATACAACATGTGATCAGTAATGTGGAAATAGAAAATTTGAATTAACAAAATGGAAAAGCATTATTCTGTAACAGAGATTTGGTGAGAGCATGACTTTCCTAAACATAAATAAACATGTTTTTAAAATTATATTATCTTGTTAAATGTGTGATGCTGACTCTTCCTTGATACTGATATATGCATGTACAAAAAGCAGAGGATATGAAGACTTAACATTTGCTATCATTCTGAGTATATCTGCATTCATTACTACTTGAACTGTTGCCAATAGTTCCTTAAAAATGACAGGAAGAAGACTGCACTAATAATATAAAAAAGAGATGTAAAAAATCTAGAAAATGACTTATCTTCGAATTCATTAAATCATGTATGTCAAACAAAAGAATGATAAAATAAATTCTACATTATAAAAAAACCTTTTGTAGAAATAAATCTGCTGTTTATATTTAAGAGGGTCACAGTCTCTAAAACTAATATAGATACATTTTTTAGTCTCTCCTTCCTGAATGAACAATTTTTACATTCACCTGACACAATCTATCGAAAATATGTGAAATATCGTATTTAAATGTTTACTTCTGCCATACTTTTACTATTACATTTTTGGTTCACTTTGTTCTTTGTTCTCTGCTTCAGAGTGTTTGTATATCGGTTGGTGATACTTTTCTCTCTTTTATTTCAGCCTCAATAATGACATCTTCAGTCCTCTGCAGATGTGCATTATACTTACAACAATACTGATATTTACGGACTTCGTAAATTATATAGACGATAAGCAAACAGCATACCACTGTACCGATTAAAATAGTGACAGTACGTTTGTGCATTTTAACATCTGTTGATCTACGCCGTGGGCAATTATCGTCTATAATAGTAATAAGTCTATATAGCTATCAAATAAATACATTTGCTAGAATCAATCTTTATATGATATGATATACATGTACATAAATGCTTAACAATTTTTTAGTTCAGAAAAATATAAGTATGAATCTAGATAAACAACTTAAACAGCACCTACCCTGCGGTTTTCGACATCCATCCTTAAAATCACATTCTTCAGGCAGACAATCACAACGTCTAGCACAAAATTTACCAAAATAGTTTTCCGGACACGGATGGCGGCAGTTCTGCCCAAAATATCCTGGGGGACAGTCTGCAAAAGAAATGCTCAATGCATGCAAGAGATGACATATGTTTAATATCTTTCACATGAAATATTTTTCAATAATTTCAACATAAAACATACAAGAATTTGAAATAATAATAAATTTAAAAAAAAAAAAACAAAAAAAAAAAACAAAAAAAAAAAACAAATATCATCCCTATGAATTTTCTATTTTCTTAGAAAAACAAGCAAGGTACTTTTTACAAAGTTAATCATTTTACTGACTAAATATTGATAGATGAGATACCTATGCAACTGTTACCAACTTTGTATTGATTCACATAGCACTCTTTCAAACCAACGCTAAATTGTACAAAACAAGAATAAAAGATAAGATAATCATCTAAATTGTATAAATTTATGCTATGCATGTTTTTCTGTGTAAAAAATACAAATCAGACACTTACACCAGTCCGAGGAAAAATATATCACTTGTAATGTATATGAATACTAATGTACCGGTTGTCCATAAGTGACGAAATAGCATTGTTATAGATTAACAAAACATCTTTGAAATCACAGCAAATTCACAATACAAAAATATTAAACATACCGATCAAGAAAATATTTTTTTTCCTTGTTCAATTGGTTTCAATTTAAATATTTGCGAGGGATTATATTAATACAAACTATTAATTTATGTTTTAAAGTTCATCCTGTTTAACTTCAGAAAATTTCATCAATAAGTATGTGAAAAGTTTTCAGGAAGGAAATTAATCCCAATTTTGTAGAATCTCTAAATCGTCACACATTGTTATTATTAATCAATATTGAAGAACATTTCATTTTATCCCTAAAACACTGCTGATCACCAGAAATTTATACATTTATTGCTAAAACAAATATTGAAAGATAAAGAAACAACGTTTTCGATTTCCACGTCTATTTTCTGAATGTTACTCTTTGATTTTATAAAATAGT